GAGTACTGCTACAAAAGGCCCCAGATATCAGGCAAATCTCGACACAGATCGTTACTTTTGTTACAGTATTCCTCACTAATATACTATAGGTAATAAACTTTTCTGCAACCATCCCTATATGACAAGGCAAAAAATAGCCCTAATTCATCGATACATGACATTTGGAAAACGGAACCAGTCAAAATAATGGCCAACATGGTTGCATTCAATAGGCTTAAAGGCACAACCCAGGCAGAAGTCGTGTGAACGCTTCCCTTCGGTCTGGATAGACCCCTAGAGGACAATCACAGATGTGGCACTCCCGTGCATGGAAATCGCCCGACAAGGGCGCTAGGGCCTTGCAAAGTTAGCTGCAGCTGCAACGATCCTCCTCTTTAGCAAGCTGTTGTCCGCCGCCCTCTCTGTAGCGCTCTCGCCTCCTAGTCTCCTCTCCGCACTCTGTCTCTCACTGCCTCAGCCAACTGCAGTACGAAGGTGGACAACCCCTTATCTTGAGCATTTGACATTTTTTTTCTTCTTTTACTTTTCTGGCCATTTCGCATCAATACTTTCATGCTCTTGTGCAAGAACCACACAAATTGACCCTGGTGGTATGCCCTCTAACATTTTACCCTTCACATCGCCCGTCGTTAGGTCAATATTTCTGACGCTCAGCAGTAAACAAAATCCTAACTTACAAGCATGATCAGCTCCTTCGTAGTGTCCACGGACGGATATGATCGACCCGTGAAGATCGGCTATCGCAACACCAACTGGGATACCTTCCAAAAATTCTAAGCGGCACTTGTCCAGCTCCGTAAACGTACCGACATCCGTTCTGACGATTTCTGGCAATTCTATCCAGTTTGGACAGAAAGGCAGCTGTAAAGTCGATATTTGCAACGTTCAGAAACTGTAACTAGCAACTCTTTCAACACATGCATGGGAAGCGTTTTCAAACCCACGAAGCGTTATAACGTAGGATAACACCGCAAGTACGAACCATTCAAAATGCTCGTTAAATTTCACTGTGTTATAGCTAGATGTATCAATATCAAGTCAGAACAATGTCTAGGTCAGTGATCCCTTCAGTTCCTCCTCCTAACTTCGTGATTCCTGAATTCCAAAGCATAATGTCGGGGAAGGGCGCACGGCTTCATGATCAAGTCCTGGGTCGTAGACCAAACCCTTCATCCCT